CATTTACACGTTATGTTGAATGAAATCACGTGTCGAGCCTTTTCCCATGACCCTCAACGGATCGACACGAGTTTGGTTCAATAAGCTGAAGCCAGGAACCATTAACACCTTAGAAGAATTGAGTAAGCAGTTTGTAAGCCACTTTATTGCAGGCGAGATGCATAGGAGGTCAACCACCTACCTACTGACTTTGAAGCAATAGAAGGGAGAGTAGATCCGGAAATACATCACCCTATTCAACACAGAGATGTTACAAGTAGAAGAGGTGGACGACAAGATGGCTTTGACCGCTTTCATGTGAGGACTCTAAGCCTCTAGATTCTTGTTCTCCTTATCAAAAGAGCCTCCCATAAGCATGTCAGAGTTGTTGGTCAGAGCATAGAAGCACATGAATGTTGAAGACGCCATGACTGCACTGAAGGAAAAGAAAGGAGAGGACAAGAAAAGGCCAACCCCTAGCACCAGGGATGAAAAGGAAACCAAATACAAGAAATCATTATTAAGCTAAAGCGATAGGACATCTCTTGAGAATGACTCAAATAAGTATGCTGACTACACTCCTCTGAATACCTCAATTGACCATATTCTCTTTGAAATGGCCACAGAGGATGAATTCCGATCCAGCAAAAAGATCTCAAGATAAGTATTGCCGGTTACATCGGGATTATGGGTACACTACGGATGATTGTTTTGACCTTAAGAATTAGATTGAAAATTCGATCCAAATAGGTCACTTGCAAAAGGTTCGTTGCCAATGAAGGTACCAACCCCAATAATTGCCTTATTGGGTAGCAACCAATTGGGAAGATCGGGATCATCTCTGGATGAGTAGACCTGGGATAATGAATCCAACTCGGCTCATGAGGCTCACGTGATAAAAGTTGCCTTCCAACTAGAAGTATCCTTGTCGAGTCATTAAAAATAAAGACCGAGGGCATGCTGGTTAAAGACTTTAAAAGGAGGATAGCTCCCTTACATTTCATTTCACTTTCTAATAAAGTCACCATCATCGATAAGATGGATGAATCCTCATGTTTGAACATCTTTATGCAAATAAAATTTATATTTTTAGTTACTTATGAATGGCTTGTGTGTTATGTTTTACATAAAGCAAATAAGAAATCAAGTTCCCTTATTAAAGGGATTATACGAGTAAAGCTTGAACAACCAATTCCCTTACTAAAGGAATGAGCTGAGTGAAGCTCGTAAAACCTATTCTCTTATCAAAGAGACGAGTTGAGTGAAACGCGTAAAACCCATTCCCTTATCAAATGGATAAACTAAATGTAACTTGTAAAATTTATTTCCTTACCAAAGGGACGAGCTGAGTAAAGCTCGTAAAATTTGCAAATAATATGCTGGATTCCCAAAGGAAGTCGAGAAACCCTAACAAAACAGAATCTTAATTCTGTTTCTATTTTTTGTCTCTCGTGGAACAAAATTTAAGTGGTAATATTACCCGAGAAGAAAAAAAAAATCCGGTACTGTTCACCTTGGGAACAGTGCCCGAGGTGACACTATTTACATTGGGTACTACACCAAGGGTGCAAAAAAAATAAAAAATTGCCCACCCGAGGTGACACTATTCACCTCGAGAATTGTGCCTCGGATAAAAAAAAGTTGCCTGGCAATGTTCACCTCAAGAACATCACCCGAGGTAACATTGTTCACCTTGGGAATTGTGCTTGGGGTAAAAAAAAAAATTGACATTCCCAAAGTTAGACAAGCAAACTTGGGAATGAGAGGCAACTAATAAAGAAAATTGAGGAAAGATGGCTTAACAGACTGACCAGATAAAGAGGTCCAACTACATTTGGCCAGTTTGAAATCAAATGTAGTTACGAATAATGAATAACAACGGTTTAGATTCTGAATACATAGAAATCTCCTAATATCATTAGCAAATGGCAACAGTTTTTACGGGTACCGCTATAAGTACAAACTCTGACCAAACTGAATAGGTATGGGCCAACACATACATAAAAATTACAGCCATTAATTAAAAGGGCCTTTGACTGACTTGATCATTGGAGAGCTTTCGGCAGGCACCACACCTGTATTGGTCAAAGTTCATCGACCTTCTTCTCTCTTCTTTGCAAGAAAAATGGTGTCATCCCGGATCGTGCTGATTTTTACTTCAACAATACCAAACAAACCCTAAGCAGTTACAAACTTATATCTAAAGTTAGTTAGCTAATTCTTAAGTGTGACTTGTTGCGTTTCTAGTTGACTCCACATGTCCCTAACACATTAACTCTCAATGTTTGATTACAATTTCAAACACATGAATGATAATTATTGATCCCTTCACAAAAATCAACAGTCATAATCACTCTATCATATAATTCCATACCTCGGCTGTGACTCTACGTACATACTTTTGTCAATAAATACTATATGTACATTCAAATGAAAGGGCATGTTTGGTTCAGTTTTTTGAAAATAAATTTCTATCTTTAGAGGACTAAAAATCAAAAATTATAAAAAGACTCCACTTGGTTCAATTTTTCGAGAATTGTTTTCTGAAAACTCAGCTATGGAAAGAGCTATTTTTAAATAAATGCCTTTTATAATTATCTAAAAATAATTTTATTTTTTGAATTTTTTATAACTGCTTTCAAAAAACTAAAAGAAGCAAGCCCAAAGGTTTTCCCCCTCTCGAGTTCTCTTTAATCCTATTGTAGATCCCTTTTTGTGCTGTTTTGGTTACGTGTTCGAAGTGGTTTCTTCTTCCCTCACTCCTATGGTTATTTATGTTTCCATGTAATGGCCTTTGATTTATCATTGACATCTTATATTAGATTGTGTTTGGCGGATTGATGATTAGGAATGGTAAAATAGTCTGCCTTGTCCTGCTCCATTTAAAACGGTTTTGGAGACTCGACTAAGTTGTAATAGGAGCCTTTTACGTATTATCAATATATCTAGTATGTTGTAGCAGCTTTTTATCTCTCTTTTTCTTATGCTTCGTTCGGTCGGAAGGAAAAAAATTGAATGGAATGGAGAGAAGAAAGGATGACTGAAACATCCCTAGGGAAGAGATTAAGTTTTTTTTCTCTTTTTGTTCGATTGGATGAAAGATAATGGAAAAAACTGACAATTTAATTTGATCAGTAAGATAAAAGCAAAGATAAATTTTTAAGTTATTTGTACCATTAAACCAATTCCTTACTTTATTTATAGGACTTGTTAAATATTTATGAAGGGTTATGTAGTAGTTTAAAACTTCTATAATAGGCTCACTTGTCTTCTTTCATATCTTCCGGAAGAAAATTTTTGAAGGAAGAAGGATGACTCATCCTTCCTATTATCTTTTCTTTCCTTATATCATCTCTACTTAACGAATGAAATTTGTTCCTTCCTTACTATTTTCCTTCCACCCCTCTTCCTTTTTTCCTACCGAACATAGCATTAGGGATTGAGTTGTGGGTGTTTAAGCTATTTATTAGTTTAATCTTGCTATTTGTTTTTTCTTCAGATTTATTACTTGGTCGAAATTGGACGAAAAATTGGTAGCCATGCAAATTTTGCATTCGAAATATTCACACGATGGAATTTTATGATTTCAAATGCTAATGATTTTGGGTGCGAATGAATTTTATAGTGCTAAAAACCCGTGTGAGTACAGAGCGGGGACGGATGAAGATCACGCGCACATACACAACCTATTGGAGATAAGCCCTCTCTTCGTGGCTGGGTTCGTTTGGGCGCTGGTGAGGTTCTTTCTCCTTTCTTTTTAATAAAGTTTATTCACCCAAAAGATTAAAAGTTCTCCATTGGTGTCTAGCTAGCCACATTACAGGATAAAGTTTTATTCACCCAAAAAAAGAAAAAAGTACCTTGATGTCTAGCTACGAAAAATCGATTTTTTTTTTTTTCCCCGGGAAAGCAACTTGATATAATTTTTTTTTGGAAAGTGAGAATTTGTACAAAAGTTATGTAACTTTAGCACCCACGAGTCACCTTTACAATGGTACACGAGCAACCTAGTTGCCAAGCTAACCACTTGAACTTCTCTCAAAGTATGAATAGAACCTTTTTTGTCTGAGAGACAACATCTGCTTCTATCATCCTTACCCGAAATAAATAAATAAATAATTGCATTAATAAAAATGGATTGAGTTGGTGATACCGAAAGTCCTTAACACATGTGATTAAATTTATATAAATATGAAATGACATCGTATCACTGTCACATAAAATAATCGGTTGTATTCGACTTTCACACTACTTACCATTATTCAAATTGATTTACTTGAAATTTTTTCCTCTATATAGTTTAATTTTCTTTTCTTTTACTCCCTCTATTCCAAAATTTTTTAGAGTGGTGGGGGAATCCAATTTGTAAGCAAGTGGGTTTTTAATATTTTTCATTGCATTGATAAGAACAAATTTTTAAATTTATCCTTGTTAAAAAATAAAGGAGTACTCCGTAGTTGGGAGTATTCCATAATTAGTGTACTTTAATTAAATCAAGAGTAATCATATTCATACCCAAGACTTGCAGTAAATAGTCTAATCGAATAATTTGGTCTAACATTAATTCACTGCAACTACTCGATACAAAAATCATTTTACTTAAATCAATGTCAAAAGGGTAGGTTTTTGAGAATATTATAAAAAAAAACCAGCACAATGATAAGGTGCTGTGGACCGACTTCAAAACAGAAGGTGAATAAGAATTTTGGGACAGAGTAATTAAAAAAAAATTATTTGTTGAGATTCTTCTAGTACAATGATAAGGTGCTATGGACCGACTTCTACACAAAATGAATCAATCAGAATAAAAATTAGGTCCACATGACTTTAATAGTTCAAAAGGCAAAAGAAGGATGTACGCAACAAATTGCACTTGGAATGAATTTAGTCCTCCGAACGAAAAAGGCAAAAACAAAATGCAATTTGAAAAAGTGGAGATTCCACTCCGATGCAACAAGAAACACAAAAGATAGAAGTATGTTAGACCACCTCACTATATACCTATACACCCAACAACACGCGTGTGTGTGTGTGTATATATAGGTGGCACGTAGTGTCCCTTGAACATATATCTGAAACAGTAGTTAATTAGGGTTTGCATTGAGTTTTGACATGCCTAGGGATAGAGATCCTTTGGTGGTTGGGCGTGTGATAGGGGATGTTTTGGATCCCTTCGCAAGGTCAATTGGGCTTAGGGTGACCTACACCAATAGGGAAGTTAATAATGGATGTGAGTTCAAGCCATCTCAAGTTGTCAACCCTCCTAGGGTTGAGATTGGAGGGGAGGACCTTAGGACCTTCTATACTCTTGTAAGTCCCAACCCTCTCATTTTCTCACCATTCTTTTTCTTCTTCTTCTTCTTCCATTAATCCACATTTCTTTCCGTACCTTTATCAATCAATTTCAGGTTATGGTGGACCCTGATGCTCCTAGCCCAAGTGACCCTAACCTAAGGGAGTACTTGCACTGGTGAGTCATGGCACCTCTCTCTCTCTCTCTCTCTCTCTCACACACACACACACACACACACACACTAAACACACAAATGTACAAGCAATTTATATAGTATAATGTAATAATTTATATTGTATAATTTAGATAGTATATGGTCCATATTGGAAGTTGATGGTTGTATCATCTATGATTTGGCTTTTGTGTTTGGTTAATTGATTGGACGTCCCTTTCATGGACACAATCAAAGGAAAAATAAAAATATATAAAGGCTGGGCTTGGGGTTTAAGGTTTCTCTCCTAAAGAGTGGTCCCTGCATGCATGCACTGTGAACAAAGGGAGACATATTCTTATATATCTATCCTTTATCATTTTTTCAATTTTGCTTTCATTTTGTGTATTCCATATATTCTGTACTAATTTTATTTATTATAGTTTATACTGAATTCACTAAAGTATTCCAATGAGTTCTCCATGTGTTCTTGCATCTTGGGGGCCCGGGACCACAACACCGAATCAAGTACACAAATTCGTACTTCAACGTATTGCGTATGGATACTTGAATCTTTCACAATGTATCACTCCACAAGACTCTTATTCAGTATTTGTGTTTATTTTAAACTCGTGCTTCAACGTATGAGTAAGGATACTTGAATCTTTCATAATGTACCACTTCACGAGACTCCTATTCGATATCGGTGTTTAGTTTACCCACTTCCACAAAACATGTAAGGTAGAATGCGTGAGATGTTCACACATTCGACTGCTCCCCGTGAAACTACATATCTCTCAACCTCATCGCGCTTTCTTTGCTTTGCTCTTCAATATTCCATGCATATTCATATGCACACTTAGCCAACTTGGAATCAACCTGGTCCTAAAGACCACTTGAGGTACACACACCGGAATTTTCCTTCCTTTCTTTTTGACACACACTAAGACACACGAGACCTTTTTTAATTGCCACTCACACAGCACACCAAGCACTTTGAACCTTGATCTCTCATTGACTTTAGGCTGTGAATTCTTTTTCAATTGGTGCAACTGAAGAAACAAAAATTGTTATTTGATCACTAGTGGTAAATGGAGCATATATATATATATGTATTTATTTTGGGCTTAATTATTTTATTGTTATTTGTGTGGGTGTATATATTGTAATTAATACAGTTCTTTTGATGGACATTTAGGTTGGTGACTGATATTCCAGCAACAACAGGAGTAAGCTTTGGTGAGCAACTTTTTTATGATCTTAACAGCTTAATGCGATATTGACTTTATCAACCTTTCTGCTAATTAAAAGATTAATCAAACGACAGCCATAATTAAAAGTTTTTAGAAAATTAAATTTTACAAATGAAGTTTAAAGACAAATCAGAGGACCTAGTGACCTTATTATTATTATTATTCTTTTGTGTATATTTCATACTTTTGAAAATATTATCTAATCCTCAGTTTTATTGAACACTTTTATTTATTTTATTTTATTTATGTTAAATAGGTATTGTTTAAAGAGATTGAAAAGTTTTTAATGGTTTGCTCACAACACTAATGCTTTATCAAAATTCACCCACAAAAATAAAAAGGCACATACATATATATCATCAGTTCATCACCTCTAATTTTATCATATATATCACTAGTGGTACAAAATTTACATAAATAATTACCCATTGCTTTGAAAAGGTTAACGATTCGACAAGCTATAATTTCAATTATTTATTTTTTAATTTTCAATACGTCTCCTCCTTTTGAGACCAAACATTATCTTATCGTGTGTTTTGCATTCTTTCTTTAAAAAGTTGCAACTAATAGATTGATTGTATTATTGTTCATGCATTGGTGGGAAAGGTATATACTTAATTTCATGCTTTAATTGGGGCTAACAACTTCTATCATAGAGGTTTGTCGCGCCTGAAAGGCTTACAATGTGATTGAAAAGAATACATATAGAGAGAGAGAATTTCTAGAATATGCATGCACTAGCTAGAAACATAGATAAGGTATAGAATCATGAAATGGTGAGTGGCATCAAAAAGTTAAATGAGAATAATTGAAAGCCAACTTCTCGAAATTTCAAAGAAAATAGTATTTTCGGAATTTTATATTTTAGTAATGTCACAGGACTAAATTTGTGACGAAACAATGACCTTAACCTCTTCTTTGATTATTTTTTTCAAACTTAATGCACTTATATATAAAATAAAATAAAATAAAATTTATTACGGGTGACACTTCTTGCCCAAGATTTAAAAATTAGGGGTGTTTTCTCACTTTGTCATGAAATTTCATAAGATAGTACAAAAACGGTCTGAACCATATTGACGTATAATCTGATGATGGTTGGAAGGTCAAGAGGTGGTGTGCTACGAGAGTCCGCGGCCATCAATGGGGATTCATCGTTTCGTTTTCGTGTTGTTTCGCCAGTTGGGCCGTCAGACGGTCTACGCTCCAGGGTGGCGTCAAAATTTCAACACTCGAGACTTTGCTGAGCTTTACAATCTTGGTTTGCCAGTCGCTGCTGCCTATTTTAACTGCCAAAGGGAGAGTGGCACAGGAGGACGTAGAAGATGAAGAATGAACCTATTTTCTTTCTACATATTTTATATTATAGATATATAGAATGTATGGATGAAGGTTAAAGCTAGCTTTTATCATCCATTCTAGCGTACGTATGTATGGAAAAGTTCTACAATACTCTGAGGTATCGTATCCTTAAGGTCTCACAGTCATTGGATCATTTATCAGGTGAGTTCTATCACCACATTCAATAGCTAAGAGCCTCGAGGTCTCGCAGCCATTGGATCATTTATCAGATAAGTTCCACCACCACATCTAATAGTTGAGAGCCTCGAAGGTACTGAATATAGTGTTTGAATGATTAACTACAAGATGATTGTAGCTAGATACGTAAAATGTCCAAGGATGTAGCATGAAGTATAAATAAAACATATGCATAGAAATTTAGTAATATATTTCTTCAAAATTCGTCCATGAGCTTATTAACTATCATTGGTTATGTTGTATGAGTTCCGTATATATGTAAAGAGCAGTGATACTCAGTTCGACTATAGTGGCCAAATATCAGTCTGAATCCCATGTGGCTATGTCACATTATCCATCATTACACTACGTGTGTGTATATATAAAGTTTGTGTGAGTCGTACGCAGCAGAATGTATTTAGGAAAGTTTTAGATTTTGTAAAACAGATCTGTGTCGTTACCAACTCTACTTATTTTAGCAATTAAACAGTTAATCACATGCAGATAAAGTAAAGTATAAAGTTAGTGACACCAGGATTTTAGCGAGGAAACCCCAGTTAATAAAATACGTCAACTGTTATGAAAAAAACCTCGTAGATTGTGCAGTCTAAAGTAAACCAATCCACTATACTTGAAACAAAGTATACCGAACTTTAACTCTGGCTCACACCCTATCATTCTACCAAACACTAACTGCTTAAAATCCTCTGGCTTTGGACTCTCCGTTCAACAGCAACTTGACCTCAGGCTTATGCTTAATATTTGTAGAAGAGTAGTAGGTAGATCAGACAACACTCCACGAATGTTCCAACCCTTTCAAAATGTGATTGTTTTTACTTCTGTTCTTTAATCGTCTGAATGATGTAGAAGAAGATCTGTTTTTGTCTGATCGATGTAAATACAACTGTATGATCACGATCAGGATTCGAACTCCACAACTCTAACCTAACTAGGTGAATATGTGTATGTTCTAGGAAGACTACAGAAAAATCAACTTTGATTTTCTGAAAGGGATAAACTTCCTAAGGCTTTGTATGATATATGAATAATGATTAAAAATCATCCTTAAACCAATGTTTATGACATGGTTTATATAGAGGTTTGCAAAGTCCTATTCCTTCTGAAAATAAAGAAAATTTCATGCATAGGACTTGGAAGGAAAGTTGGATCAACAAGGAATTAAACAGAGAAAGGAAACTGGAATCCTTTTACAATCAGGACACTTGGAACCGGTTCCCAAATTTGGTACCGGTTCTTACTTGACAAAATCCAATATGAACTTGGAATTTCTGTATTTTTGAAACTCTGAAAATATACCATGTATATCATTGTGTCCTAAGTGGGAAACGATGTCTTAATATGTTGTTCTTGTCCTAAGTGGGAAACGATGTCTTAATGTGTTGTTCTTTCCTTTTCGATGATCAACAACACTTTCCTCTTCTGATCAACCTCTGAATTCCGCAGTCGATGTCAAGTCTGATATAGTAACTGAAGTTACAACTCGACTAGAACTTGTTTTGTTACCGAAATATGCCAACTACAAAAATATATCTCACAATCTCCCCCTTTGGCAATTTCTTTGCAAAACCCTAAAAATAATTTATTATCTACCCAAGCAGAAAAGTAAAGTACAATTGTTTAAGAAAACCACGGAACTTTGTATCTCTGTTCTCTCATTTTCTCTTAGACAAAATTTCACCTGAATTCCTGCACATGAATCAAGCGAAACTACCAGTGAAAGCTTAATTGACAAATTAAAAACTACCCCTAAATAAATTATCCAAAAAGTTTTTTTACAAAATTTTAAAATTTTCCTTTAATATAACCACCTTGTTCTCTCCCTTTTTGGAACAAATTGTCAAAGTAATTGAAACAGAGCATCAAGAGTAGAAACATTATGAAATAGAGAAACAGTAACAATTTATAACATGTCAGCAGTCGAACTATAATATCCAAAACTATCAAGTTATGACAATGTAAAAACTGAACAAAAAATAATGCATGTATGATATGAACATAGAATCAAGCATTAGGATCATCTCCAGCGAATGGACCTGTAGACATCAGAATGTCCTTATTACCATCATCAGTGTCACTCCCACTATCATCCTCTTCATCCTCATCATCCTCTGTATCATCATCCTCCTCATCTTTGTCAGCCTCAAGAACAAATGACGGATCTGGAGGGGCTGGTCTATAGACGTCCTCAGAAGTACTACTAGGCTGTTGTTCTTTAAGCAATCTAACATCTTCTTAAATATCAAGAACAACATCCATCATGGCCTTCTGATTCTGAAGAATCGATGAGTAGAGAAGATTAACATCAAAGGTGGTGAACATCCTTTTAGTTGGAAAGAGCTGAGTGATCTCAGGAAGTGATGACAAAGAAATAACTGAAGTCCTGCTAGCTTTCCTAGATGATGCTCTGCCAGACTTAGACTTGTTAAAAACTCTAACTTCCATCTCAGACAAAATTTCAATATGCTGAGCAAGAGGTGGAAGTGGAATCCCAAAATGTTGGTACAAACCCATGATGACCACAGGGAATTGAGATGACTTGTTCTTGGAATTGTTCTTGTAGTGTGTTACCATCAATCTATATATAGAAAAATTAAGATATATCTGTGTATCAATAGATAGAAGATATAGTACGTCTGCACGATCTGAAGAGATCACATCTTTCTTCCCAAAGTAACCCAGATTTGAGATGGCAAACAAATTCAGAAACGCCGCCTCATCTGTTAGATAGCGATTTGGAATGTAGTCGGGGAACTTTGGTGAGTCTGGGACACACAACTCATTGTAAATATCTTCCCACTTCAGTCCTGAATGATCAAGTGGAAAATGATATCCCGTGTTAGAAAAACCCTTGGGTATGCTAAGAACTTTTCCAATCACATCTACATCAATCATATAGTCCTTGCCAAATAATGAAATCTCAAAATATCCAGAGTCATAAACTTTACGGATATTTGAGTAAAAGTAGTGGACTAGGTCTTTACTGTAGGAACTAGCCATTGTGGTAAAGAACAACCACTTGTGCTTCTCAATGTAGTCAACCAGTATCTTCCACGGACTTTCTCTAAGCTTCTTCAAGCTCACATTACGTTCCGACTTAATCGGACCGTCTTGATACACCCTAGTGTATACCTTCCAAGCATGCTCATTATAGAAGTGTTCTCTTGTAAACCGAACCTTCCCAACCTCAGATACTGAAGGATATCCAGCTGGTATTTCAATAGAAGGTGAGGTAGAGCGCACGGGAGAAGTCGGAGCGTCCCTTGGAGCAATTGAACCCTCTTGTGGTTCCCGAATAAAAATTGTAGTTCTCGCTCTTTTGGGAGGTGGAGGAACTACAATACCCTTGCCTTTGTCCTTCTTGGATAGTCTCGGAGGTGTCTTGTGTTCGAAGAAATTTGGTTTGAAGCTTTGGAGTTCACTGAGTAATTTTCACAAACACTTGGTGTGCGGTTTACAACTTGTTCTTGGACAAGCTTGATTTGATTCTTTAAAACCCTAAAAAACAATCAACAATCAAAGCAAATATCAAACCCAATGTCTTCAAACCCTCTTCAATCTTCAAAACTCAAGATCAATTGGATGATTCTATGTTATCTTGCAATAAAATGATGAGAATGATGCAAAATCAAGTCAAAATATATGATGTATAGATGTATGGAGTTTTGGAGAGAAAGAACATAAAATAGAGAGAGAGAGAATAGGTGTATGCAACAAAACCCAATAGCGCAAAAATAGGTTATTTAAAATCTAAACCCATTACCAGGAACCGGTATCAAAAGTGAGAACCAGTTCCCACTGGCCAGTAAACAAAGGTGGAACGTGGACCACTGTTGAACCAATACCAAATTTGTGGTACCGGTAGCCAAGCTCCAGAGACTTTGGCCTTGAACCTTTGCACCTTGAACCAATAGGGGAAATGTGGTACTGGTAGGCCAATCACAGAATGCTTTTTAGACTTGAAATTTTTTTAGACAAATTTTCTAACTGACTTTTTTGAAACACTCAATGATCAAAAAAAAAAAAATTCTACAAACTAAAATCAAAATCTTTTTGAATTTTATAGTTTTTCCATTTTTTTTAATTTTTTATTTTTAAAACAAAAGAAAAAACAAATCATTGAGCAGTCAATCAAAGTCATTTAAGTCCACACATGATCCAAATTTCTAGAAAATTATCAGAGATATCTATGAACACAAATTTTGACTCCACAAAATATTTAATCAATTTCAATTCTCAAGAAATAATCACAACATGAATTTTAACTTACAAATTTTAATGAAACATTTAGAAATTAATCTAGCAAGATCAAGTGTGTGTGTGCAATCCTTCTCATCAATTTTTAATCAATTATCAATAAATCGTTGTCTAAACCATATTGATCAAAAAACATCAAGATAAAATTGACTTCGAGCAATTTTCTAAGTAAGGTGGCTTTCACTCTAAAGAGCAGACAGCAATTCCCCTTCAACTTGTCTCCACCTTTCTTTTTACTCATTTAGCTCCTCTTTAAAGTCTAATGGGAGCTTTCGAATACATCTCAATAGGTAGCATTTTCCTAAACAAAGAATTCAGCAAATAATTTTTTCATTTTTCTTTCTTTTTCAAGCTGAATTTATTCATTTTTTTTTAAGTTCCTATATTTTTTTCAGACAATAACCTTTATAACTTTTGTGATCAATATACCTTAGTCAATAATTCAAAGATTTTCAATCAAATTTTTCATATTTGGACTAGTGCACAAAAGGTTATGAACTTAAAAGATTCAAATCTAAAAATCCCTTAATCAATGCAAATCAACTTTCATTGTATAGATTACAAGCCAAGAATCTATTTTTAATCAAAACTCATGTATCCAAATTTTCATTTAAAGATAGATCATAAATTTAATGGAAGAATTTTCTCAAATATATCATGAAAACTATGATCAGAAACTCAAACCTAAACCAAACTGTAACAAATGATCCAATGGCACAGAATTTTCTTTTAAATACAAACCATGATCACTAAATTTCATAGGACTCAGTTTGAAGAAAAATTCCTTTTGGAAACTTATTTCATGGACTCAACAGGCACATAATTGATCAAATTAGACTTTTTGATCCAAACGGTTCTCACTCTCATTTCCTGAAATTCTTAGGCAAATTTTCAGCTCTAGAAATCTTATGTGTCACATTCTTTTTCTTCTTAGAATGCACCCTTTTC